AGCCACAGGAATCAAATGTTTGTTTCCTTCTTCACTATTGATTTCATTCATCATGTCCCTCTGTATTCTGTAAAGACGATGGAGTTCATGGAGCTGCAGAAACAAATGCAAGCATCAGAGAACTGCAATCAAAATCGACTTGTGAGGCAGCCATTGAAACATCATAATCCAACAAAGTTAATAGAGGGCATACCTGATGCCTGAATATAGAATCATGCTTCAAGATAGTCTGCCTCATTTGTTCCTTATCATATCCCATTGCCAGCCTCGTCAGAAATAAATCATTGAACTGCCCTGAGTTTCTGTTTTCATGATGTAAAGGCCAGCCAACATTGCCGGTATTTCCATTTAGATTCCTCAAGGAATAGTATCCAGGAAGCTGCATGTTTGAATGTACTTCAGTTCCCATTCCTGCAAGCAATACAAAAGTGGCATTGAATTACCAGGCAGAATGCAATCTAAAAGAAATACTTTGTATTTTAGCTGAGTATCACAGGAGTACTCAAAGGTTCATGATCAGAACAAGTGAAATAATCCTCGCATTATGCCTAAAACATACAATGATGCAGACAACTTTTGTGATAAGCATAATCTAGAGCTTCCTGTTCCATCTTTGTACAGCCATCCCCACATCACTAATTATAATCAACTTCACTATTCAAGAGTGATTAAACTAACAGAAAGAAATGGAAACCATCCCCAGCATCATAAACAAGTAATGAAGCAGTTCACTTCTGGGAACTGGAAAATTATATTGGTCTAAATTCTCCTTTCTGTTCAAATCTTCCAAAATGGTCCTTTGATTAAGAAGTATATGGTGTGTTAGTATGCGAGAGAGTAATGTGTTACTCGGTTTAATTAGGAATTTCATAGAAGCAAACATCTTAACTGACTATTCACCAAGTATTATATTTGAGGTGTTTTGTCTTTTATGTTAAGCATTTCTGAAGTCAAATCATCAACTAAACGCCACAAACATGAATTAAAGCACTGTTGGTTTCCACAAACTATTGCCATACCTTTCCAAATGATGGCTAAACTTGCACGCAATCTAAAATAGACAACTCATTATTGCATTGATAAGCAGGGAATGCATTTGGAACAAAACTGAGAAAAACTAAGTTGGGTGCAGATTCAGAAGTCAAAAGTCTATACATATGCTCAATCTGGATGAAATCTGTGGTTTCAACTATCAAGATCCACACACACACAAAAAGATCACCAAACGGTACAAACAAAGGCTAGGCAAAAGCATCAGAATGAAATGCTCAAATTAAAACTTTAAACATAACTCTACAAAATCAGGGAACAAAACGAGAAGATTTATTAGCTCATTCACTGGAAACCGAAATCAGTTCTTCTTGCTATCTGCAAAAAAAACGGGAGACATTGCAACAGATAATTAAAGTAGATTTTTAGGGCTCAAACAAGGGATGACAAATGCAGCTATAAACCTATTAGGCCAACAACAAAGCACTCAACGAAAGGAAAACTAAATCGCCCAAACCCATAATAAACATAATAACAGTTATATAGTAATAGAATTTACTATAGTAATGGCTATCATGGCCTATACAAAAGAAGCAAGATGGATAAATCACCCAGATGTATACAAACTGAGACAGAGAGAAAGAATCATACAATCAAAGCACCAAAATATCCAAAGCTGCAAAAGGGAAGAAATAAACTCCAGATTATAATAAATTAACAGAATCAATCATCCACTCTGGAAATTAAAAAATAAAATAATAAATTACCTCATAATTATATTCTTTGCCACCCTTCTTATCAGAAACTGCTGTGTAAAGTCACCAAATTATCCAGAAAATGACAACCACCCAGAATCCAACAAGATTCCTGACAATTCACTGTAGCAGAACAGGAAAAAAATACACAATAAAACCCAGAACAACCCATAATCTATATGAACCAAAACATGAAAACAAAGACCTTGTAAAGCCTAAATAAGGAATTGGGTATCTGAAAAAACCAGCCATTGAAGAACCATAAAATAAAAAAAAAAAAAAGAGAGAGAAAAGCTCAGATCATGGTCACCCCAGAAAACAAAAAAAATAAAGCAGGAAAATTCAGATCTGCTGGGCCAGTATCTGATGAGAGAAAATAGAGAGATCCCACATCCCAGATAAGAGATCTTCTCTAAATAACAAAAACAAAGAGGGGAAAAAAATGTCTCTCTTAACAACAACAATGACTTCAAATTTGTCAACTTGTGGTCTCACTCATTATTCTATTATACTTGGCTTTGTTTTACGATTAATGTAAACCCTTTTTTTCATTTTCTTTTTCTTTTCTGGGACATTGAGGATGTGAAAGATATGCCCCTTCTTGAAAAAAAATAAATAAATAAATTATTATTATTATTCTTTTTTCACAATTTCTAGATTCTCTCCCACCTTCCATGCTTTTTGGGTACACATATTTTTAAGTACTTTAAGAAAAATTCAGACACCTGGGTTTACTCAAACAACAACTCCCCAACAGTTTCCAAAACAGCTGACCCCACCATTCCTTTCACTTATAAAATCTTGTATTCTGAAGACTCTGTCACACCCCCACGCGCACTTCCAAACACATGAAACAACAACACTCTCAGACAAAGAGTTCTCTAACACGCGCAGCCACAACAAAAGAAAACTGTCTTCTTTTTTTTTTCTTCTCTTCCTGGTTTGGGTTGTAAATATTTTCCAATTATTAAAATTTATTTGGATTATTGCGTTTGTTTGCTTCTCTATGTTTGATTGGTTGGTTGGTTGGTTCCTAACATATTTGATGATGATCTTTGGCCTTTTTGCAGCAACCAACTCTTTTATTCTAAGTGCTGTGACCAATCATGGAATGTTAATGTTCATTAACAGATAAGCCTCGTGTCCTGTCCCATTGGTGGGTTTATCGTTTTTGGAAGGATTACTACATATCCCTCCCTTCTTTTTCAGTTTTATTTTCGAGAATTTTTAAATTTATATAATTAGAAAAGTTGGAAATTAAAATTATGTCGACGCACCATGTGATTTTGGATTATGTACCCTGAATTTTAAATTTTAAAAAGTGACAAAAATGATTATGAAATAGGACTGTTTAATTTCAATTGAAATGAAGTGAAGAATAGCAAAAGCAAGAATGAGGTAAAAAGAGTGCACCTTAGGATGATCAATGATGAGACCCAATTTAGCTGCACATTGAAACAATTATTTGCTTTCTTTCAAATTAGTTTTATGTGTAAATCCAATAGGCTTAGGAATCTTACCTAACTATTTTATTATTATTATTACTAAAGTCATATAATTTTTTTTATTAGGTCCAAAAATGATCACCTTCTAATCTATACCTCGCTTGTTGATTAATTAATTAAAAAATTGAAGAGAATAAATGTGGCTACATATTTTGACATCGCATTTATTAATCCTCTGGCATCTTCAACCTGTATATTAAATACATTTCTAGTTATATTTGATTCCCCTATTGAAAACCATTTGCCTCTCTCTCTTATATGAAATGAATCCTTTTTTCAGCTTTCCAACCCATCACCATTGATGAGGAAAGGCTAAAAATGGAATGACCAGTTGATGACAATATTCTTCTTGGTTTACAACATAAATCGTAACAGTTATTATGCCTTGAAGAAATTAAAATCCATGGGATTTCTACTGATACATGCTGTTAGATGAACTCAACAACCTTGGCAACAATCAGACTTCCGCAAGTCATCTTAAGTTAGGTTTAGTTATAATGTGACTTTAATCAACTTCATTTCAACATGCACAAGGCTCTATGTGCACCGCAGTAGGCAACTATGTCGATGCGTGTTCTAATCCAATGACAGTGTGCAGCAGTCAACCCATAAGCAGGTAACTTAAAGCAAACTCTGCCAATGAAAAAGAAGCACTACTTTTTTTTTTTTCCATCTTTCCCTGTATTTCTCTCCTCTCACTACAGTTAAAAGAAACCTGGCAACATCTTCAGAGTTACTTTCTTTTTGACCAATCTTGGATCATAACCAGAGGCAGTTTTCAGGCAAAACCTGCTCTAATTTGAAACAAAAGGGTTCAAAATCATGAACAAAAGCTACTTTAAAAAGCCTGTCTCTTTTGAATGGAATGATCTAAAAGCTAAGAGTGCCAAAATTATGAACATGAAACCCCCCAAAAAAAGGGTTGGAAAAAGTGTGATTGAAATGATTACCAACCATGCTTGTTTTGCAGCTTGAGTCTCCAAAATTGGATTGGGCACAAGGATTTTAAATGTGGTATTTTTATGTGATGGGGTCCTAAGGACTTCCATTAAATGCTGCTAATCTGTATGCACCTTTGTGCATAAATTGCTTGGCCCCATGATGTATAATATCTACTTCTTCTTCTCATAGTTGGCAATAATTTAGACCATCTACAAATTGAAATTATAGGTTTGTAGTAATGGTGTTTTGTTAGATCTGAATGAAACATTTGTGTTTAATAGTCCATTCATCATATGATCTTGACATGTCATAAATTTGATTGAATATGTTGAACCATCAATCAATTTCGAAAACCCCCTATGTTTAACTTGCCCACCTAACTAATAAAGCTGACATTAAAAATTACAGCTATGTAGGCTGTGGGCTGGAGGCTGGAAGGACCATCTAAATATTTGCTACAATTTGTCAAATTGCTGTTTTGTTTGGTCAGTTTGTACATCAAAATATTGAGTTATCATTGTAAGTAAATGTTCTCAAGTTGGGAATCCAAATTCTAGGTCAATGACATGGAGTGAGTAACGAGAAATATCTATATATACCCATGATTACACAAGAAAATAAAGCATAATACGTGATCAAGTCATCAAAGGTATGGGGTTGGGGAGGTGGAAGAGACCAGGCCAAGTTTCCTGGAGCTAAATGTGCAACAACCTTACTATAGCAATTGCATTTTGATTTCAAACATCTTTTGTTCAAATTTTGAATGCAGCATTGCATCCTCACATGGCCCGCTTTTCCTTTTAACTGCATACTTTCTGTTTTAGCTAGCTTTGCAGCTAGACCAAAAAGGCGGTCTTAGGTTTGACCATATAATCTATTCTTGTTCACCTTAAATCAACTCCAGACCATTGGCAAGAAAAGGAACTAAAAGTCATATAATAGAGAGCATAATATACAACATGGAAGACTATGGATCAGATTCCATTACAATAGACCAGACCATGGTATAATTGCCAGAATTCGCACATAAACTTGCCCTACAATTTGTATGGCTTGTAACTTCACCAAACCTTCCTGGGACCCAGAAGCCCAAGAATCTCTTCCCAAAGCCCAACACTTCCGACGCTCTCAAGACCAATTACACTTGGGCTACAAGCCGCTACTGTCCAATAAGCAGCCCTTATCTCCTCATTCAATTGCTCCTTCTCCCACCCACAATACCCATCGAAGAATCTTAAATCCCCTGCCCCGACCACGTTTCTCTTTACCATCTCGGCTGCACATCCCACGCTCTCTTTCGTTCCGTAATACAACCCTTTCATAACCTCTTCAAACACCGAGCTGTTGTCATCCCCCCTCGGGCTCACCAGGAACAACCCTTCTTCCAAAGGCCCGCCGAAGAACAATGGCCTATCCGAGAACGTCCCCGCAACGTCCAGCACCGTCGATCTCATTTCTTTGATCGACATCAGCGACGGCCGGTTCAGTATGATCCCGGATGGGCCTATGGGCCCAGTTGATAAGAGCAGGATCACCGTCCGTTCGAAAATGTGGACCCCATCAAGCTTCTCCGTGGCGATGAGCAGACAACCCTTTTCCGGTTCATGGATTGTATGAGCCCATTTGTCGCCAAGCGTAACTGGTTGATGATCAGGGTCGGCACATGCTGACGAGTCCTCGGGCCTTGATACTTTCTCCGCAGCCACTAATTTTGCTCTAAATGAACGCCAATCAGGATCAAGGATTGGTCTGCTTTCATCATCCAACGGTGAAGATGAACCGAGATGGCAGCCTATCGGTGAAAAAACTCATTAGATTATCCAAAAACAAGTTTAATAATCACAGAAGCATTGCTTTTCAGGCCCAAAACATTGTAAGTGGCATCAGTAGCAATGCTCATGATGGATAAATGTATCCAGCCGGTGTATGTGTGGGTTAAGACACTTCTCAAAATATAATCAGACCACAAAATCAAACCCAATACAAGATTTATTCAGTTGATGTAATGTTGATATAGAAATTGAACAACTTACATGTTATATAAGTTGGGAAAGCAACTTTTCTACAGTGGGAAAGGTTGGAGTTTCTCTTTGAAAAGGAGAGTGCTTTAGCTCTGATTGAGGGCACAAGCTCAACGCTTTTAGCGAATGAATTTGATGAGAGAAAGCAAGCTTCCATGCTTTTTCTTCTGTGCTTAGTTCTGTCTAATTCAAGTGAAGATCCTGAAGGATAAGAGAGCCAAAACTGGGCAATTTATACTTGGAATGAGAGTAAATATGCACCACAAGCTGTTTTCATTCTCATCCCATTCCATCCAAGCTGGAGGCTTTTTCTTGCGCTTTACAAGTACAGCCCGGTGGATATGTCTCACACATGGCAGAACAGCACAGCATTTGGACACTGAAACCAGGACCTTCTTTTGTGGGTAGTAGTTCATGGACTTTTTTAACCCTTTCTGAGATGATGTGTCATGTTCATAGCCAGTTATTTGTTATCGAACCACTATCTCAGCAGACACTTTTTAGTGATGTGTCATCGTCTTAGCTTGTCACGTTTATTTACAGTTTCTGCTGGCCACATTACTTTTCAAATGCAATTGGAAAATTCAACTAGTTTGGTAGTGCATCCTCTGGTGGCCTAAATAGAAGAAGGCCAGGAGGGCAAAAAAGGGGAAATGACATCTTCCTCTCAAGAGCGGATAGAATTCCTTGATAACCCACTAAATTAAACTTCTTGAAACAAAATATTGCAAAATTAAAAGTTAGTCAATTGAGCAGGGGAATATTCCTCAACTGAAAGAATATAAGTGCCTCCAACTTAATCCAAGTGCAAGTGCAGGTGCTATGTGTCTTTAATTTTGCTAAGCTCCAGCTCAGTGCCAAAGTTTGTTCGTTTTGTAAAGAGGGGGTTAATAGATAGAGCTTTCTTGAAATAGCATCTATATATATATATATATAACACTTTTTATCCTAGAAGTTAGCAATGCCTTTGCAATGTTAGGAAAGTCACACTGGTGCTCATTCCACTGTTAATATTATCTTGTCATTTTCAAATCCAAAACTGAGATATTGGGTTTCTAGGCATCTACTTAGTTGGCTCTGTTCTCCAAGATTGCTTCATATCAACAGCATCATCCCAATAACTGTCACCTTTTTAATTAAAATAGGGGGCTGGTAGGAGCAATGTTCACCCATGGAATGGGATGAGGCACATTGATATAGTCCCAATGCTACAAGCACTGGTTACTTGTATTTGCCAATATATTGCAGATATGAGATTTTCCTGTACAGTTGCTTCGGTTTTCCTTTCTATGGCGACAGGCAAAGCTTGAATGTTCCTCTTTTCACCAAATAAAGAATAGGCGAAGCAGCATTCAAGGCCCATAGAGGAAAAAGAAAATGTTATACAATCCGGGTGTCTGCTACAAAAATGTGATATCCTTCTTACCTTAACCTACTGGCATGACCTCATTCAGCTTAGCCTCTAAACTAGACATGAACCTGCAGCACATAAGTTTGTCACGAGTGGATCTACTGCAGGCTCATATTTTCTATTAAGCACCCTAGCTAAATTAGTTTGAAGCTGTTAGGTGGGTGGGGGAGCGGCGGACTGCTCAAGGATAGTAGTAAGCATTTCCAAAAATGAACTTCCAACAGCAAAAAGATGAAAGTTTGCAGCACATAAGCATTGCACCAGCAGTAGCATGAGCAATGACTACGTGACACCTACAGGTGGAATAGATAAATGCTAAGAAAGGTGAAAGAAACAGGTGGAGAAAGAAGAAGCCAATGGTTTCTTTTAGTCAATCATTCAACCATAACAAGAAACACTCCCCACAAAACATATTGGCTCTCAACAATCAAGCAAATTTAACCAGTAACCTTATAAATTTGCAGCAACCTATAGGAGAAAGACCTAGCCAACAAAATAGATGCATTAAAACTATCAAGAAAGAAAGTGAGTGGACGTGGGAGAAAACAGGGTAATAAAGAAAGTAAGTCCATTTAACAACATGGGACGGTAAAAGGAGAAGTATCAACTAAAATGTTTTATCATCTATTTGGACAAATATGTAACACGGTGGCAATAAAATAAGTTTAAGTCACAGATAAAATCATATAAAAAATAAACCACTCGCTCCATAGTCCACACTACACCTATCGTCTTATGCTTTTCATATTCTCCCAGTGTCAATTACTTCTTTCCTTGGTCAGTTTGCAACTAAAGTAGTAGAAAAAAGAACTTGAGACTTTCCCAAAATACAGGCTTTTTACAAGAGTGCCCCTACCACTCTGACTGATAACTTATAATATGCTTGCAAATTGTAATTAAACAGTCTTGTAGCAGTGATCATCTAAATCACCACCTCACCAACTTCTATCGGTAAGGTTGCACCTTCAGGGTGTACAACTTGCTTAAGGTCCTTTCGCAACCTGTCAATCATTTGATATATTCCATCAAATTTTGGGTGTGATTTATCAAATACAGTGAAATCATGGACCTCATTGTCTATTTCAATAGAACTTGATCCTGATGGTTTTTGGACCCCTCTGCTCTTCATTCGAAGCCGTACACTTGCAACATTGTCCCAATCCCCTGATGCAGCAAAAATATTTGCTAACATGGAATAATTTCCGGGATCTGAAGGATCCAATTTAAGAAGGTGATCAATCACCTTCTCTGCCAGTTTCACAGCATTATGCAATCGGCATGCAGCCAAAAGCGTACCCCAAATAATGGCATTTGGTTCAAAAGGCATGGTTTGAACAAGTCTAAAAGCTTCATTTAAACGCCCTCCACGGCCTAAAAGGTCAACCATGCAACCATAATGCTCGATTTGGGGAACAATCCCATAATCTTTTTCCATCACATAGAAGTATTCAACACCCTCATCAATAAAGCCTGCATGGGTACAGGCACACAAGATACCAACGAAAGTAACTCTATCAGGCTGAAATCCTTCCTTCTTCATTCTGGAGAAAACTTGAAGTGCTTCCCTCCCACGGCCATGCATAGCAAACCCCTGCAGCATGGCATTCCAAGAAACCACATCTCTTTTTGGCATTCCATTGAAAACACTCCATGCCTTGTCCAGACTACCACACTTCGCATACATATCAACTAATGCATTACAGACCGCAATGCTACATCCAAACCTAAGCCTCTCTATTGAATTATGAACTTTTACACCCACTGCTAACAAACCAGACTCAGCACAAGCAGCCAGAATACCAATAACAGTTCCATCATCCAACTCCAGTCCATCTTGCTCCATTCGATCATACAACTCAATAGCTTCCTGTGCTAACCCCTTTTCTGCATAGCCGGATATAATTATAGTCCAAGGAACCAATGTCTTAACTGGCATCCTATCAAACAAAACCCTAGCCATATCCATATCCCCAGCCTTACTATAACCTGAAACCATCGTTGACCAAGACACAACATTCCTCTGAGGCATCTTTTGAAACAATTCAAAAGCTTTCTCCATCTCTCCTGCTTTAACATAACCATCCAAAATTGTATTCCAACTAACCATATCTCTCTGAGGCATCTCATCAAACAACTTCCTAGCTTCCCTCAACTTCCCAACTTTCAATAGTCCCCCTATCATAGAATTCCAGGAAACAACATCTCTATCTTCCATTGCCATAAACAACTTCAAAGCTGCTTTAATACCCATTTCTCCAAACTTTGAATAGCTATCGATAAGAGCATTGGGTACAAAAATATCACTCAAAAAACCATTTTTTTCAATCTGGGTATGTATCATTTCCACCATTTTCAAATCAGTACAAGCCTTTAAAACAAAAGTGTGTGTAAAATTGTCAGCCAAAATCCCATTCCATTGCATATCAAAGAAAAAAGAAAAGGCTTGGCTTGGCTGTGAATTTTGTACATAGGCTCTTATCAAATTGTTATACAAATGAACATTGGGGTCTTGAATTTGGTTAAAAACGTTCAGAGCTAAGGTTATTTGGCGGCAAAGAGAGAAAGCTGAGATTAACTTGGGAGCTATATAAAGGTCTCGGTGAAGATTTTGTCTGATTATTTGGGCTTGGAGTTGTTTAATGTGGCTTAAGTTGGTGCATTTATGGAGGTCTTGGAGCTTTTGTTCAAAAAGCCTTCTCGTGGAGAACCATGATGGGGATTTAAAAGGGATAGACATGGGGTTTCTGCAAGGGTTTAGGGAGAGGAAAATGGCGGGAATTTTGCATGGAAAATGGGGTTTTGCATTGGAGATTTTGATGAAGTAAAAAGGTTTGGCTTTTTGAACTCGTGCTCTTGAGAGGGGATTTGCTAAAGTTGAAGAGCAAAAGAGTTAAAATGAAGAAAAAATTGAAACTTGGAAGAGGGAAGGGATAAGGCATCTATGTTTTCTCTGGCTAAGGTTTTCTTCATTCGACTGAGCTGATGGGTTTGTTTTTGCGGAATCGGTTCTTTAGATTTTTGCCCTGCTTGTCTTGCCTGAGTTTTCCTCGTACTGGGTCCCTTTCGGCCTTTCCCGTGTGAGCAGGTTTTTTTTTGGGAGATAGGATCTAAACTTTACTTTTTAAACAATTAAAAGAATTATGAATCAAGTAATAAATTAAATATTTAAATATATATAATCATTATTTAATTCAATACTTTATATATATATATATATATATATATTTTTTTTGTATTTTGGAGCTTGTTTGTGAGTTTGGATTCCTAAGTCTTGAGTTAAGACTTTCGCTCAACTTGTGGATAAATTTTGGATTTTGAATTCATGTTTACCTCATTTCATCAATTTCCAATTACAAAATACACAAGAAAAACAAAAGCCACAATATTTACACTTTTGATACCAAAGTTTTCACAAATTTAATACTTTAATCAAGTCAAACTTCTCAAGAAGTCCTTGTAGGATAACGTTTTCATCAATTTAATCTCTTAATTAAAAAAATTGATCAATTTAGTCCATATATTATGACATTATATGTAATTGAGTCTTTATAAGTAATTTTGTCCAAATTAACCATTAATTATACTAACGTGTTAGACGATGTTGACGCAACACTGATATGTCAAACAATTTTTTTAAAAAAAAAACAAAATTCACCACATTAAGTTTTTTTTATATCATGTCAAAAAGATCAAATTACACTAAATAGAAAAATATATAAACTAAATGGAATAAAACTTTATATTACATAGACTCCTTAGATATTTTTACTATTTTTTTTAATTTCACATTATATACGAGAATGTTGACTCTTACTATAAGTTGAAATCGTGTATAAAGTGTATGAAAATCTTGAAACACTATAATTGAGTGTAACCTTTCCTTATGATATGAAACACTCTAATTGAATGCAATTGCTAATTGTAACATGAAATCTTGCTATTTTTTGTTTCATTTCACCCTCCTTTTTTCTTATGCTTTCTTGAGTTGAAACTGATGCACCATCCAACAAATCAACAATTGATGAAGGTCTATGAGGTTGATGTGATTGTATAATTGTCATTTGGTTATTGTTATTTGCTGGAGTTGGTGAAAGATCTTGGGATAGATAAATGGCTCTTACAATTCCTTTTGTAAATAAAATTGATCTTTTTGTAATTAAGAAATTAAATTAGATGTTACATTTTTTTGAGTTAATTCTTAAAAATGGAGCAGTGCAGTGTAATTGATTTGTATTTGAACATGAATCAAATTGTTACCTTCTATGTTTTCTGGTACAAATGAGAAGTTAATATAATAATGTCATTTCATTATATATTTTTTCTTGGATTGCATAAATAAATCAATAAAACAAAAAAAAGTGAAGTTTCATATTAGTAGTAAAAATTGCATTCAACTATACTGTTTCATAGTATAAGTAAAAATTGCATTCAATTACAGTGTTTTAAGATTTTCATACACTTGATATATCACTTCAGCCTATAAAGAGGACCAACATTCCCATGTGTAATGTGAAATAAAAAATGGTAAAAATATATAAGAAGTTCTTCTACTATAGAGTTTTGTTCAATTTAATTCTTATATTATATAATTTTGTGTAATTTGTTCCTTATGACAGGATATAAAAAAACTAACGTCGCACAAATTTTTTTCTCTCTAATTTTTTTTTTGACATATTAGTGCTATGTTAACATTATCTGACATGTCAATATAATTAACGGTTAATTTAGATCAAGTTATTCATAAAAATTTAATTGCACATAACGTAAAAATACAAAAACTAAATTGATCAATTTTTAAGTAGTTTGATCATTTTAGTCGGTATAGATCTTTGTCAGTTAATGCACCAGCAAAATCAAAAGATACCAAAGCAACAATTTCAAAATATCTCTTAAAATTTAATTTTAATTATTATATATCGTAACATAACAAAACATATCAAACCTAAATATAATAATTATAATCGTTGTGTATCATTTTTCAAGAAATGCACTCAGTTATGATTTCAATTAAAACAAAATAATAAAATTAATCAAAAAATATTTCAAAATAATTTTAACCATTACATATCATTTTATCTAATTTTATCTAATTATATGTGTAATTTTATCTAATTTTTATGTTAATTTGTTTAATTTATTTATTGATTTCTTTTTAAAATGTAATAGTTTTGTCATATGTGTTGAGTAATATTTTTATTGAATTGCAATATTTACTTCTACATGTACTTAAATAAAAATCACAACAAAATCAAGTAATGAAAACAAGTAAAAAAAATAAAAAAAAAAGAAAAATTGACTAACAAAAAATACCAAAATAATTTTAATAGCTATATATCATCTTTTAAGAAAGCTCACTTGTAATTTTAAATCATAATGAAACAACAAAACTAACATAATTGAAAAACCAAAATTACATAATAATTTCAATTGTATTGACTTTTAAAAAACCACCTTCTTAATTCAAATCACAATAAAAAAATAAAATCAACTGATAAAAAAGGTAAAGAATTACCAAAATAATTTTAGTAGTTACATATTGTATTTCAAGAAAACTCAATTACAATTTCAAATCAAAGTAAAATAATAAAACTAACATTGCAAAAAAGAAAAAAAATAATAATATAACTGTTAAGTATGATTTTTCAAGAAAACGCACTTACTTTCGAATTTAAACCACATGAACAACAAAACCGATTGACAAAAAATAATATCAAAATAATTTTAACCATTATATATCTTTTTCCCATAAAATTTACTTACAATTTCAAATTACAAAAAAAAATAAGATTCTAAAAAAAAAAGAAAAAATGCATTATAATTTTAACTATTATATATTATATATATAGCATCTTGAAAAATAAAAACCATTTAGGCACAATTTTAAATCACTTTAAAAACATTACCAAAATAATTTTAACCGTTACGTATCAAATTTGGGAAAAAAAATCACTTACCATTTCAAATCACAATAAAACAAAACAAAAAGTAACAAATTAATTATAGTAAACACCTTCCAAAAATGGACTCAGTATTTCAAGTTATAGAAACGGATAAAGCATGTGACTAACATTAATCATAGTATATATCCCAAAAAAAAACCTATAAAATAAAGTAAAATAAAATATATAATTTAATTATTCAAAAAGATTATTCAATACCTATACAAAAGCAAAAAATATATATATAATTATTGAAAAATTAGACCTTAAACAAAAGAGTCAAATTCCAAAAAGAAAAAAAGCGAACTTCCTTGTGACCTGTCAGAGCAACTCGTGTTTCTCTGTTTCTTTTCAAATGCTCACACTCCACCAACCCTCTTTTCAACGCCTAACTCACCCACCACAAGGAAGCGCCAATCTCCATTTTTTTTGGTTTTTTTATTAATGGATCTTTAATTTTTATCTATTTATACCCTTTGGTTTCTTCTCATTGACTCGCTTTGTTTTAAAGCTTCAAACTTTTGCTTTCTCTGTATTTGTTTAGTGATTTGTTTCAAAAGTCTTCTCTTCGTGATCAATGGAGGCCAAGTTGTTAAGAGCTTCTTCTCCAGCCTTACCTGCTGCTAATGGCACTACCAAGTTTTCAAGACCCAGTTACCTTTTACCCTTGCAAACCAGGGAATTTCCAAGGTTCAAGTTTGATTGCCGTGCAAGCTTGTCGAAGAAAAACATTCAATCTCTTCATGCTTCCACCACCTCTGTTGGGTATAAGTATAGCATCCCTTCTGGCTATTTTTGTTGTTTCTTACTATTAAGCTTGTAGGTGGTTGAAAACGGAGTCTCTCTTTTGTCTTTTTTTTTTTTTTTTTATAATTAGGGAAGGGGATTCAAATCTGCTCTTTAGATAGGGATCATACACCAACCAATGAGTCAAAGCTTGGGTGTGGGAGTCTTTCTTTTGTTGTTTCTTTGAAAGAAAAAAAAAAAAGCTTTGGCTTTTACTTGGCTGAATTTGAAATTGGGTGCTTGCGATTATTGAATTAGCTGAATTTGCTGCCTCTTTATTAATGCCCTGTCTTTAAATTTGGCTGATGTTGGATATTACTGTATTTTATGATATTGGGTTTATTTCTATGCTTCAGTTGTGATGATTGCATTTCCAGATTGGTTGGAATCTGGGTTTTTAATTGTTTTCATGGTGTTATTCAATCCTGGTTGTTAAATATTGCAGGAGAAGCTATCTACTTGTAATGCAGTTAGACAATTCATATTTGAATTACTTGTTCTGACTTTTTTATGAAAAAGAAATTTGGAATGGATTTTGCTTCCTTTAATCTTTGACTGCTGAAATTTTTATTGGTATTTGTTTGTAAGAATTTATTTTTCCCTCTGGAAAACACCAATTTGAGTGCAGCAGTCTACATGCTAATCTTTTTATGCGCTTCTTTACCTGAATGCATTAGTTTCTGTATTTTAAACACCGTTCTGCTAAATATGTACAAGAATGCAAATAAATTGTCTTCTCTAATTTTTTCTGTCTGTTTGGTAATGCAAATTATAATAATGATAGAGAAAATTGAGTGATTGTTATAAACATGTGTTGTTGTGTGCTTTTTATTATATATA